GGGGGGGGGGGGGGAGTTGTAGAACAAGGTGTCCAAGTCCAAGTAGTTGAAAGTCCATAACAATTCTATGTTAACATTCAATTAGCCTACTTTTTAGTTCTTAGACGCCGTTCTTGCCGTGCAATTATACATTTACCCTCCCCTTAAAGCACTTTTGGGAGGGGGAGGGGGGTGGTTGGACAAATAAAATAGTGAAAACATAATTTATTTAATTCGTTCAAGTTTGGATAGATTATTTATTAACTCAATCCATTTTAGTCAGATTCATTCTGTACATCTGAAAATTGAGTTGATATATCGTCCAAATCGATCTATACAAACATCGTCAAAAAGTCATTTTTAAAAAAGTTAATATGTTATATAATATTAATAAAGAAATGCTAATAATTTTATGAAGTGCTTGAACTTAGAAAAATCGAGCGAATTGGATTGTGATTCACTTTTAATCAATTTTTGCCAAAATAACTTAACTCATTTCTAGTCCGATCCTCCCATTTGACACTCCCACATACCACAATTTGCTGAATACTACAACATTATATTTATTAGAGAATATTTAAAGGTTATATTTTGCTTCGTAAAAGAAAGAAAACATATATTCTCCTAGAGCAACTAAATTAGGTGTACCAAGTACTTATAATATATTGAGCTTTTTACTTCCTTTTCACCAAAATTGTTGGCAATTGTTTTAGCACTATGACTTCATCGCATATACCAAAGAAAAAAATATATAGAAAATTTGAAGAGAAAAAAAGAAGACAAAAGAACAAATAATATTAGCTAATATAGTTAGATGTGACATACAAAAGAATTTTGTTTTCTTTTGATATAAACTCTCAACTAATTAACAACTATTGCGGTGAGAGAAGTGGTCAACTTGAGAATTCATAAGAGAATTTTGTTTGGCAAGTTGTTGATTAAATTATTGTGCCCCAAATCTATAAAGTAGATTCCTTAAAAGCATTTTCAATAATACAAAAAAGGCTAAATATATCAATAACCCTTTAAATTTATGAGTAAATTTCATTTGAACACTTGAACTACGATCTGTTTCAATTGAGCACTTGAATACATAACAAAAATTAAAATGTTCTTCCTAAACACTTCCGAGTCAAGATTTTGAATTTATTTTTCACGTGTTCTCAAGCATCTATTATATAGAGTTGTTTACCACTTAAAATTTGTCACTTTGTTTAATTATATGGATTAACTTCAATAATCGGTTAAACCTCAAACATGTTTCAATTGATGTTGATGTATACAATGAGACATATTTTATATGATCAACTTATCTATGTAATGAACGTTTTAGAATATAAGCTAAAAATATCTAATAAAATACTTTATCACATGTTTATTAGGTGCTCAATTTAAATGCCATAATCTAAATATCTAAATAAAATTTATAGATCATAAATTTAAGATGTTATCAAAATATTCGACCAAATAACAAATCTAGCCTCCGGATTTCCCGTTGACAATATTGATCTTATGCAAATAAAATATGGAAAGACAACACAAATGTGAAGACTTTTCTTTTTATAAAATTAGTAAAAACATTTTTTAAAGGTATGGTTTAATAAGTTGGTCCTATTTGCCTCTTTTAATCAAAGCAAAAACATTAGTGAAGACTACAAGTTTCTGCATTTTGGTTAGAAAAAAAGGAAGCTCAATCTTCACAAACTTAATTAAGCCATGAGGAGAAAACCCTAATGAAGAGATGTTAGGTCACCAAACAGCAAAGGTATTAATTAGTTCATTGAAAAACTAGATTTCTTGTGAGATTAATGCAAAACTAACCATGGAAGTACAAAATATATATCTAGTTGTAAAAATAACTTTTATTGAGGATTGTCAAATGGACGAGTTTAGATGAATTTGAACATGTCAAAAATGGACTAAGGTAATATATATACAGGACGACAGGTTATTGATCCGTTCAAAAATTACTTAGACTGAAATAAGCTAATAACTAGGTCATAATCCAAACGGCTTTATTTGTTTTTCACATTTATAATAACCCATTCTATTCTACTTCCTCTAGAGTCTAGTCCATGTTATATGTTTTTAGCTTTTACATTTAGTCCGAAAAAATTAGTAGTTGTTGACAAAAAATTAATTCCAAATTTATTCTTATTCAAGTAAGTGAAATTTACATAATTAAGAAATCATATTTAAACTGATACAATTTAATGAAGACTGTTTTTATTTTCTAAGGCTGGATAATTTCTTAAATTATATGCTTAAGCTATAAATATCATCTAGTATAAATCGAAAGGAATATAAATAAATTATATATATGCACAAACAATCGTGGGTTCATAATTTTTACTTCAATTGACTCCTGGCCCTAAAATAGTGTTCAATTATGGCTACTGGCAAGTTATATAATTTAGGCCTAGTTGAATTACGACTAGTAATTTAAGGCTTAGTTAAATTATACAGCTATTTTCAACGTCATTTGTTTTATTTTATTTAGTTTTTTCATTCAGTGTCGGATATTTATATTATTATATATGAGTTAGATTATTAAATTCAAGATTACTAATTAAGAATAGAGGGATTTCAATGTGTAGGGTAAAGTAAATTGTGCTCCTAGTGACGGAATTAAGATTTTTTTTAAAAAGCGGATTTGAGATATAAAAATAAATATACAAATAGGTTAAAGAGGGTTCAACGTATGTTATATATACGTAAAAGAAAATTAATTTTAACCATATATAAACAATTATAATTTTCCATCAAAGGGGATTCAGATGAACCTCCTCGGTCCTAGCTAGCTCCGCCCATGCTCTAACACCCTATTCAGAAAAATGGGATGAAAACTAACCGGAGGGGATCTCAGTTAGTATTACAGGTATTTAAAGTTATTTTTTCCTTCACTATTACTTGTTCATTATTTCAAAAATAAATTTTCATAATTATAATTTATTTTTTACTTAAATATATAAAGAAAACAAAATTATTTTCTCTATATTTTATCCTTGATACAAATTCCTTATTTCATAAATTACTTTTTAAAATCTAATATTAAATATTATTAATATGAATTTTATAATAAATTATTTATATATATTATTATTTTTAAATACGAGCAAAATTTAAAATAAATAATTAAAAATGAATTTACAGAATAGATTTTTTCCTAGCTATATTAGTAGGTAAAAAGTCAAAGTTGTTATAAATGCTACCTACAGCATACCCAAATTTTAAAGGCTAAGATTAAAAAAAATGAAAAAAAGGAGGAAAGCAAATGCCAATAATTTTTTA